TTGGACAGTAGGGACCTGCCAGTCCCTACCTATGGCAGTCCCTACTGACGGCCAACTCACTCACTCACTCTCACTCTTTTTGTCTTATTCTCCCCCATTTTCTTTTCTTTTTTCTCTTTTTTCTAGCATGCCAAGTGTCAAGTGACCGTTAAGGCCCTTTTCTAGCCTCTTCCTCTTAGTTTTGACCCTCCCTATGCCGAAGGTGCAGTCCGTTATTTCTCGGACTGCAATAATGGTCTTCCCATGCCCATGGGAACCTCCTTTTACTCCTACACTTCTCCCACAATGGTCCCTCCTACTCCGATTTTCTCCCGGAGGGCTATTTTTCACATGGGGTCTTATTTGACTCTATTTTCTTGAGGGAGGCTGATCCGAGATTTTTCGGATTGCTCCCATGCCTCCMACTTCAATTTTCTTTACTTTTCCTTTTCCTTTTGGCCTTCCCGTTTGTCGCCACTAGTACTTGCACTAGTGGTGCTAATATTCTTGGCCGTCAGGATGTCGACCTTTACGGTGCACCTTGCATTTATTATTTTTCCTTCATGCGGTGCCGCCGTTTTTTCTTGGGACTTTCACATGTCCCCGCCACTTGTCCCGTTGGTGGTCCCCGACACTTAGTCCCGCCGGTGGTCCTCGACACTTAGTCCCATCGGCGGTCCCGACACTTAGTCCCGTCGGCGGTCCCCAACACTTAGTCCCGTCGACGGTCCCCGACACATTTCGCCCCGGATGCCATTATTTTTACTTAGTCCCACGTGGTCCCGGGTGCCTTTCCCCGAGGTGTCCCATGCCCCTTGGGTGTCTTGTCGCCCCATAGCGACCCTTCTCCTTAGTCTTTCCTCGCGCCTTGTGCGTGCCGATCTCTTTGGTCGTGGGCTTCCGCTCCGAGGCTCCTGTAGGTGGCCCCACGTTGGCCCCTCATTTCCTGTCTTCCCGCGGCTTCTGGCCGCCCATCCCTTGACTTCCTCATTCCCTTATTGCCGTCGCACTGCAATTGCTAGTTCAAAGGGCCCTTTGGCCTTAGTCTTATTGCATTCCGATGACCCTCCCGGCTTCCTGCTATGTTCTATGTGCCCTTGTTCTTGCGCTCGCTCGCTTGCTGCCGCTTAGTTCTTTCCCTCTGTGGCTCTCGCCCCAGGGCATTACTCCCTCCTGCGACCTAATCCTTTATCTCGTCTCACTCTGGATATCTCTATTGTGCACAGTTCGTCCATATTCGGTTTCTCAAGTGATGGGAAGTTATTCGGGACTCACCAGTCCCGACACATTCCCCCCACTCTTTCACGATGTCCTCATCGCGCACCAATCTCTTGTCAGTGAGTTTCGGGAGGATAGATGAGAGAGGGAGGTGAGATGTTACGTATGGTTAGTTTGCCAGGGTCCGTTTTGTTCTTTTCCCATTCCTTTCTCAAAGTTTTCCTTAGCTTCTGCCCCTTGGGGTGGAGGAGGGTATGGGGGAGTCGAAGGTTCTACAGCTTAGACCAGGTTGCTCATTTCCGTCATAGCTCTGTCTCTTTATTTTTGCCTCAGTCGCGACGCGAACTTCCTCTTCAGTCAACTCTATATACCCAGCAGGGCAACCCATAATTCTTTCAACTTCAGTAACATGAAGCAGACGAGGTTCTCCTCGCTTCATGTACTTAACTACTCGTATGCTTGTTTTATTCCCAGGGTGACAATTTGTTGTCATAACACAATTGGTTTTCTATGCCTTGGCTTTCTTGATAACAAATTGTAGGCAAATTTTTCGGATGCGACTCAATGTCAGGCATTTGCTCCGGAAGGGAGATGTTCGTCCAATACAACCGCCGCCTTTGCTGTGGTGATACCCACTTTGAATCAGCGAGCCCAGACACAACTCCCCTTAAGTGCTTTGTAATCTTAAATCTATCTTCCCATTTCATTGAGAAAACATTCTCGAGCAGAAACAATTTTGGTCTCGCCTCATTCATTACTCTTAGAGTCATAAAAAAACTAATCTACTTTTCGGCCCGTACAATCCATGTTCTCTCGTCATTATTTCCTCAGTCTCATGCTTAGCCAGTTCCCATGTATTTTTCCCATGTCATTTTGCCCAGCTTATGTGCGTCATCCTCATTCGTCCTTTCTCGTATCCAGGCTTAAAAATGCGCGTTACTCAGTCCCTCTTATTCACATCTTTCTTCTCGCCTCTTGCCAGGCCTCCCTCATACTCATGCAAAGTCCATTATACCTGTATCTCTTTTTTGGGCGTCTTGCCAGACTTTTCCTTAGGTCTACGCAAAGCCAATTTTATATATCTTTCTTTTCTGAACATCCTGTCAGGCCTTCTCTCAAGCCCATGCTAGGTCAAATACTCATCCATTTCTCTCCTAGACATCTTGCCAGCTCTCTTCTCAAGCTCATGCAGAGTCATTCACACATCTTTTCCTCAGTTGGACACCTTGTCAGGCCTTTTCTCAAGCTCAAGCAACGTCAATTGCCAGGTCTTTTCTCAAGCCTGCGCAAAGTCACTTACTCATCCATTCCTTTCTTCTAGACATCTTGCCGGACCTTTTCTCAAGCCTATGTAAATTCAATTACTCATTCATTCTTATGCTCATGGTATCCTTCTCTTTTGTACGCTTTTTCTTCGGTAGATGGCACACCTTCCCCCCACTCAAAATGCGATGTCCCCATCGCACGACTAGTTCTCACTCGGAGGTACGCAGACCTTGGCCCACCAACTGAGTAGACGGATGCCGGCCCATCAGCCCCAAAAAGGAAGGGTGATCAGTCCTCCCCCTGCTGACAACTCACCTCATCCCCTACTCCAGTCCGACCTTTTGTTGCTTACGAGACGGGCGTCATCACTGAGGTACCACACCACATCTGGAAGGTAGGTCCAGTCCAAGCCTCCCAGGACCCCATCTTGTCGTAAGTGCTTTCTCGCGAATCGTCCCTCCCGAGTGGTGTTTTCTTGGATCCGGCCTCTTCCTTTCAAGAGAGTTGGGGCTCTCTATTAGTCTGCGAGTGCAGTTACGAAGACCTCGCGGTTAGTCCCGGAACGGTTGTAATGATCCGGCAGGGCGGTGTCACTCGCCCTGTGGTGGTTGCGGCTTCCACCCGGTACCACGCCCGATTCCTCCCTTTGGACAGTGCTGCTCAACTTAACGCGAGCGGCCGTGGTCCATTCCAGATGGCCGTGCCGCCCCTCCACGGCATGGCGTGTGGTTGGGGAGAAAAAATGAGACCTAGGAAAAAGAATGGCTCTCTCGCCCGTTTGGCACCACGCCCTTTACGTTTAGGTTTCAATATGAGGCGCAGTTTGAACTCCCCCACTAGAGCTCGTTGTCGGGGTTGGTTCCGGACGGCCAGCATCAATCAAAGAGAGAGGTGCTTTGGTCCTTCAACCCTTATTCCTTCTTATGAGGAGCAGGTCGCGCTGAGACTTTTCTCTTAACGGGTAGAGGTCTTGGGGTCGCGATGCAGACATTGCTATCCCCCTTATGTTGAATCTTCAAACACTCAATCCCATGCTATTTCCAAGGCTGATTCTCATGGCAAGTCCGACAACTTCTTTTCAACAAGGCCACCCACATGGCCGGTCTGGTGGTCAGCAAATCCGGATCCGTTCCACCCATGCAATCCTCAATTCTCTCATTCCTCAGCACCCAATCTCTGTAACCGTCCCAACGGTCCCTGCCCTTATCGGCTTTAAGGCTCCGCCTTCTTTATCCTGTCCTTCTCATTCACCTCTCTCTTCCGCCCCCTTGGCTATTTCAGCGGCCGACCCACAGGCCTTTTCCATCTCTTCAGTCCATCCCATTGGCTATTTCAATGACCGACCCACCGGCCTTTTCCATCTCTTCCATTCATCCCATTGGCTATTTCAATGACCGACCCACCGGCCTTTTCCATCTCTTCCATCCATCCCATTGGCTATTTCAATGACCGACCCACCGGCCTTTTCCATCTCTCTCATCCATCCTTTGGCTATTTCAATGACCAACCCATCGGCCTTTTCCATCTCTTATTGCTCATTCCAGCACATTCTCAATCAACCATTCTCAATCAAATATTCAGGGGACCCCAATGCCTATTTGAAAAGGAATGACCCTTATCAGGGGCCATTCGCGAACAACCTGGTTAGGGTCGTTCTTTTTCATTCTCAAGTCGAACAGCCTGGTTAGGGCCGTTCCTTTCCATTCTCAAGTTGAACAACCTGGTTAGGGTCATTCCTTTCCATTCTCAAATGGAACAGCCTGGTTAGGGTCATTCCTTTCCATTCACAAATCGAACAGCCTGGTTAGGGTCATTCCTTTCCATTCTCAATGTTAGGGCCCGAGGGGGTGGGCCTCGAGGTTACGGATCCCATTTCTGTCTTGGAGGTTAGAAGGTGGCCATCTCATCTTTTGCGTGTTGTTTTCTTTCTTCCATTTCTCACAGTAATATACCATCCATTCCATTTCTCACGGTAATGTACCCTCCATTCCATTTCTCACAGTAATGTACTATCCATGCATACATCCGACTTAGCGTCTAACACTCGAGTTGGGGCTCGTGACCCCAAGCAGCATTAGCTCACCCGGTCGTTCAACCACAGCAAGAGACAGGGGCGCCCCCTCTTTTTCTTCACTCGTTCCGACAACTCAGATGTTGACCATTCTTAGACTAATTCATGACTCAGTTAGATTAGGCTCCTAGGGAAGGAGTATTCTTCATGCCGCTTAACCCATAGGTTCCCTAACCTCTCTTGTACTCGACCAATCATTCAATACCATGGTTCGCTCGTCAATCCGTACTCAAGGTTTTCCCCTCTCAAAAGCATAATCCTTATTCCATCAAGAATTTACAATACATCCCCTCCCAACTGGTCTCATCCCATGCCCCATGTCCTTGTCTTGTGTACCAACTTCCGAAGGTAGCTCATCCAAAAGTAGCCCTAATATGCTATCTTCTAATCTTATCACGACACAGTCTTAGCTGACCCTTTCATCACTCATCCTTTGCAAGCTTACTCATACTATACACATTCTGCTCCAATGTTTTGCAATTGAGAAATAGAACCAGGATTCTTGCCCAACACTCAATCAACATCTAATGCCTATTGCTGTCTTGTGCCTCAACTTGCTCGTTTCCTGGTCCACCCTGCTCCTCGGCAGGCTTCCTAACCCCCACGCCGTAGGTCTCGATTTCTCTTTTCATCCTTACAATTTTCCGTAACTCTGCCTCGTTAAAAAAATCCAGTGGTGTGGCTTCCACCCCTGCCCTTGCGAGTTCCCGAGTCTTGATAATCCATTCGTGCCTAATCACATTGGTCCATTGCTGAAACCAATGACTGGGCGTTGGCCCAAACTCGTCCTCCCATCTGAAAGCCCCGTTGCTCAGTTGGTGCATCGGAAGTCGCCCTTCTTCCCTAGGCCTCGAGATCTCATCCCTCTCATCCCCGATGCTGATTTCTATGACTTCTCGCACATCCTCCTCCTCGTCCTCCTCGTCTTCTGTCTGTATGGGGCTATATTCACCTGCAAGGTTCTTTGAATCGTAGGTAAAAGGAATCTTTGTCCCCATCCCATACCCCTCGCAACTGTCGTGGCCGCTTCGTCCTTCAAGCGGACTTTCCCTTCTTTCCTCACCCTCCTCATACTTGTCGCGCACGTCCTGTCCCCCCTCGCTCTCCCCATGCCAAGTCTCACGTCGCTTGCCCCTGTTGACTCCTTTGCCGTCAGAAACCTGAACCTTGTTTCCCATCTCTGTATTGCCTCCCTCTTCCACTTCTGCCTTTTCCTTCCCTCCCTCACTGTCAGACGGGATTTCTATACCTTCTCCCTCGTGGAGGGGTGAGAGTTTCCTACACAAGCATTTCCTTCCTCCCCTGCCTACCACTGGGCCACCCATGAGTCCTATATACAACTTTCTCTTTGTCGCTCTCCTCCCTTGGCTTAGTCCTGCTCCCTCCTCTCCGGTAGGCCTGTTGATTGCCCCGCTGTCATTCTCGTCACCGAACTCCATCTTCTCTTTTCTTTTAGACCCTGTATAACAAAACAACACCCGCAAAACCCCTCATGCACCCATTCCCCCAGTCTAGGAGGTAGTCCCCCCCTTTTTCCCAGAATGCTCCCAACATCCTTCGCAGCATGCCCCTATTATACATGCGAATGTGTCGTTTGTGATGACCCCATTTTTTTCCCGTCAAAACTATGGTACAATGCCCCAAACATCCCTTCCCGTTGTCACACAAGCCAGATATTGCAAACCCCCAAGTCACGCTGCCTTTCAACCTCAGTCAGTCCAAGCCAAAGCGCCAGTCCCCAAAAAAATGACAGTCCCATGAACATGGTCAGAGACAAACCTTAGTGCAGGCAAGGCTGTGGTCAGTCCTTAGCTTGTTTCCTTATCTTCGGCCTCCTGAAGCCATTGTTCTACTGGGTCCCGGCTTGGAAACCTGACCAATCGTTGCCCCGGAAAGGGTCATTTCAATCCAGTTTCATCCAAATCTTCCAGTTCGAAGGTGTTCAGTCCCACCCGCTTGGCGACCCGGTAGGGGCCTTTGAACCTCTTTCCCAGCTGTCCCGACCAAGTACTTTCTAGTGCCGAGTTCCTTAGCAATACCATCTCTCTCACTTGAAGTGGCTCCTTTCTGACATTCTTAACCTGGTCCCACCTTGTTTTGTCCTTCATTCTGCTGTCTAGTACCCGGTTGGCGATGTCTTCCATGACCTCCTCATTCTTAAGGATTTGTTGACACCTTGCCTCGATTAACTCTTCAGTGGTCATTTGTGGGTCATCATCTAACCTATTCCAGTAGGTACCAAGGCTTCCACAGGAAAGTCGATCTCTCTTCCGTACCAAAGCTCTCCCGGGATACATCCTGTTGTCCTTTTAGGGGTCATATTCTCTGCAAAGACAGCCTGCTTAAGATACCTAGGTCAGTTCCCCAGATGGTCCGCTGCGAGCTTTGCAATCGTGTTCTTCGAGGTTCGGTGCTCCCTTTCCACAGGTGCATTGGCCACAGGGTGATACGGCTCGATGAGTTTAATCGGTACGCAGAGTCTCTTAAGCATTCCCAATACTTCTTGGTTCACAAACTCCGTCCCGTTGTCTGCTATAAGCCTCCTGACGAACGGATGCCTCAAGTAGAAGTCTTCTATCCAGTCCGCCACACTCCTCCCTGTCTTTTTCTTGAGGGCGACTGCCTCCACGAACCCACTCAGGTTGTCTCGCGCATCCAGGATGTACCTGTACCCATCCATTGATACAGGCATGACCGCAAGGTCGAGGTGGACCAGATGCCCCGGCCCTAGCACCCGCGTTGGTCTAAGCGGCTCGAAGACCCGCACCGAGCTTCGTTCTTGGCAAATAAGGCAAGTCTGGCAGTATATAGCGACCATGCCTGTCATGCCTGACCAGTAATAGAGTGGCGTCATTTTTGCAAGCGTTCCTTTGAACAACCGATGACCTCCAGCCAACCCATCGTGCATTGCCTGGATAACGTCTACTTGCCTAGACCTTCCGCACACAACCCTTCTGGGCATAGCACCTTCCTCCCTTCGGAACAAATGTCCGCCCTTTAGGACGTACCTTTCCGCTTCTTCTCTTGCTTTAATACTGACTTCCGCAGGTTGTTTGTTTCCTACTTATAACAGCCCGATCTCCCGAAAGAGCCCTTCATATGATTGGACATAGAAAAACTCCTCTCCTTCCTTGCCTCTTTCGTTTCCTTCCTGCATCTGATTTACCACCCATTGCAACTCTTTCCTTTCCCAAGATTCCACTAAGCTCATCACTGCTTCCCGGCCTCCCTCGACTGCCATTGCTATTAGTTCCTCTTTCGGTCCTACTATCGCTCCCCATGAGTCATTTTCTTCTCTGCGTCCTCGAGTGGTAACTGGTCCTTCTCTAAGTTCTGCTACTACGGCAGGTGCCCCCTTCTCCAAAGTGTGGATCAATAGTTCTCCCGATGTGCATCCCCCGCTCATCATTTCGTTATCCACCGTGAGAGTCTCTCCTTCGTATTCGAGGAATGCCTCTATGGGCTTTGCATCCTCCATCCCTTCGGGAGTGATGCAAACCCGACTCAGGCCATCTGCCTTATTGCGGATTCTAGCAATTCGTTCGATCTTGTAATCGAACTCCAGATGAATCCTACCCATCTCCCTACCGTCGGATCTATAGGCCTGTAATTCTTTAGAGCCCCTGCGACATTCGTCGGATCGATCCTTAAGATGAACCGCCTCCCAAATAGGCAGGCCTGGAAGGTCTTAAGGCAATGCAGGATGGTTAGGACTTCCTTCTTGAATTGCAAGTACCGCCGTTCTACGGAGTTCAGGGTTCTACTTTCGAACCTAATCGGCCTCTCTTTTCCTCCCTCATCCCTTTGAGTCAACGCACCTCCTACGGCCAGAGGTCCTCCATCCGTCTCTAGGATGAAGGGTCGTCCCACTTCATCAGTAAAACAAGGCACGAACAGGGCGACTGTCTCAGATGTCAATATGTCCTTGAGCCTTTGGACAGCTCCTTCTCGCTCCTCCGTCCAATCCATGGTTCCTTCTTCCCTGATCACAGCTCGGATAGGCTGAGCAATCTTGGCAAAGTTCTTAATGAAGATCCTCCAAAAGCCGACTACGCATAGGAATGCCCTTACCTCCGTCGTCGTGCGCAGCGGTGTCGGCCACTGTGATATCTTGTCGGTTTTCGCCGGATCCGGCTTCCTGCCGTAAGCACTGCAATGAAATCTTAGTATAGTTACCTCCGGTACTGCTAGGATACTCTTCGGTCCACTAGCCGTAATGTTGTATACTAGGAACCGGTGGAGCAAGTTCTTGATGTCCTGCAGGTGGTCCCACACAAAACGTCGGATCCTTGGTTGGACTTTCGTCTCGTCCTTCTCCTGCGCGCCTTTTATCGGATTGTCATCGATGTAAGGCTCACATTTTACTGGGAACATGTCCCCGACCACGGCGAGCATCCTGCGTTGCGCTTCGGCCACCGCGTTTGTGAATCCCATAAGGGTCACTTGCATCTGTAGTTGGCCTACGGGGATGTGCATAGCGGTGTATGGCCTGTCCCGAACATCCAACGGAAGCTGGTCGTACCCTGAGTACAGATCTATCAGGGAGTAAATGCCCCGACCAGCGTGTGATTCTGCTAATAAGTCAGCCTGAGGTAGCGAGCTAGCATCCCGGATGGTTACTGCATTCAACTTCTGCAGGTCCTGAATCCACCTTAGTGTCTTGTTAGGCTTCCGAAAGACGAACCACCGATTTGCGTATGGCGATGCCGTAGGCTCCGCAACGAAGGAGTCCATCTTTGCTCGGAGGAGGTCTGTTACTTCTCCTGCTATCCCAAATTCATAGGATGGCCCCTTGTCATTCCAGCACTCATGTTCTACCGTGTGGATTCTGACCGGAGGGATCAACTTCGCATCTAGTCGTTCCTTCTGGTGATCATTAAAGGCAAATTCCAGGTGAAACTCCTGGCAGGTCATTTTGATCAGGCGGGTTTCTTCTTCCGTTAAGAACCCATCTATCCCTATCTTCATTGTGTCAGCTACCTCACTGGTATCCGATGTCCCTCCGTCGCCCTTCTTTCTCGGATCACTCGAAGGACCTCTTCCTCCTTCTCCATAGCCTCTTCCTTTGATGTCTCTAGCAGGATCGAGACCGGTTTTGCTTTCTTCCCTACCGGCTTGTACTTTCGAACACTTCCTTCAGGGATCTTTCTCCTAAAAAATGAACAGTCGGAATTGCCCCCGTCGCCTCTACGACTCGTGGCTGAATACTAACTAGTTTCCCATTCAGGAAATATCCCTTTTGCACCTCTCTTTCGAACTTGGCCAAGGCTGCCGAATCCACTCCTACCTTGTGGTATCTGAGGGCCTTGATGAGTTGTAATAGATCGGGGATCTCGAGTGCGCTTTCTGGCACGTCTATGCGTACTTATTTCCGTTTAGGCAGGCTAGCACCAAGTTCGACCTCTGACTCCTTTTCCGCTACCATAACACCTAGGACTTCGTCCTCCTGCCTGCTCTTCTTCTGGGGCAGGCCCATCTTGATCCACTCCTTGTTGAATGCTTCCTCAATCATGATTTCTACCCTTTCTCTCATACCCTTCATCCGTGCGAAAGCCCCTTTTCGCGTGCTATCCTCGAACGACGGCGACCAAGTTGCCAATTTTCCCTTTGGGGGGTCTCCTCCCGTTCCAAGGAGTCGGAGGAGCTCTCCGCGGCCGGTCACAGGGTCCTCTATGTCTACCATGTATGAACCATCGTGCAAGTGCATGCCTATCATATCCACGTTTGCGCACCACGGTCTCCCGAGGATTATGTCGTGGTCCATCTCCTCCATTACGGTCATCCGCTGAAACGACCAGATCGATTCCCTGACCCCTGCCTTTACAGCACACTTCGTGACGTACCCAGCGAACGGGATTTCCCCGCCAGCTCCCTGGATGCTCCCTGTTTCTTCTTTGTTTACCGTACATCCTGTGATCGTTGCGAAATCTCTTCTTATGAGAGTGGTTTCTGCTCCCCCGTCTACTAATGCGTCGGTATGATGACTCCCGATCTGGATTTTCAGTTTCCCTACGGGCAGCGCATGAAAGCTAAGCTTCGTCCCGGGTAGTGATCTCATGACTTCGCCGCCCTCTCGGTCGGGCAAGCTCAAACGAATGTCTGCAAAGGCTTTTTCGAGATCCTCCAAGTCCCCGTGACTCCTCTGAAGGTTAGCCACTTCTTGCGGAGCTTCCTCCTCCCTCTCCCCTTCTGGTAATTCGGGGTTGTCGCCTATTTATACTCGCCTCCGAGTCAACAGTTGTCTGAGCCCTTTGAGCAACCTAGGGCTAGCCTGCAGCATGGTCTGAAAAGAGACCGACACCATGGTTCCTAGTAACTTGCTAATGGTGTCGTCGAGCTCAGGCAAGGTTAAGATCGGGATTTGATACCGAAACTTCTTCTTAGCGGCGGTAACCTTGTCCRCAGGCTCCTCTTCCCTAGRCTTCCCATAGACCTTTTCYGTTTCCTCGGCCTCRGGCTCTGCCTGGGGTTCCGAACTTCCAGCAACCTCCTCCATTACGGCGTCACGGATAATCCTTCTCCCAGCCGTCCCTAGTCGAGTAGTCGCGTTTACCCTATCCCGTCCGTCGCTTTCCAGAATGAAGTTGACCTGCGGCCCGCGCCCCCGGAGTTGATCCCAGATGATCTCGCCCACCAATTCGGCCTCTACGGCTGTTATTTCTAACCCGTTGAGCATGATAATGGCTCGCCGCATCCCTCCTGGCGAGTTCCAGTTCACCCGTTCCCCTTGTGGTCCAAATATCTCCCCCTTTAATGACCTGGTACACCTTCTTTTCAGAATATCATGGTTGAGCTTTGGGCACGCGCGCACATAATGTCCTATCGTGGTACAGTACTTGCATTGCTCGTTAGCAGGATCTCTTCGTCCGAATCCCCGGTTTGCCACCTGGCGGACCCACAGCTTCCTGGGGAGGGAGGGCAGGTCGCGATACTTGCGCCTGCATAACTAGTAGCGCGCCTTCCATCCTTTCAATCTTATTGTCGACCCCGTGCACCCGTTCATGTAGACTTTCAATCCCCTTCTTTAACTTGCCGTTCGTCCTACCGGTCAGATCTATGATCTCTCCTTCCTTGAGCAAGGCCAACGTCTCTGTTACTACCGTTTTCTCAACCAGATCCATTGCCGTGCTAAAATCAACATCCCGCGTGTTTACGAACTTGCTCGTTTGTTGGTAAGCTGACAGGATCTTGTCTTTGTCGAACTTGGAGAACTGCCTGAGGAAATATTTTCTCATTATCCGGTCCGTGACCCCGGGGATCCTTAGTGCTACTAGAGTAAATTCCCGTAAGAAATCATTGTACGTTGCGAAGTTCTTCCTCTGAACTGCCGCTAGGTCGGCCTCCGTTTTCATTTTCTCTGCCACTAGATACTTCCTCATCATCACATCCCGGGTCTCCTTCCAAGACCGGCTTGCGGCTACAATGGCCATTATGTCCCGTCCTAGGCTTAACGACACATGCTGCCCTAGATGGTCCATCATTTCCTCCTCGGTCCACTTTAGTAACGCAGCTAGGTTCTCGTAGTCGATCAGGAACTCGGAGCTGCTGGAACTATGAAAACCAGGGAGGGACAGAAGACCAACAAGGAAAGTCCGGATAACAGTATGGCAGGCGAGGCCAGCAGCTCCATCGAAAGTGAGCTTTTTCTTGGCGTCTGTCAGATAGCCTTGATTTTTGTTTAGTGCTCGCGCGAGGGGCGACACTATCTTCTTAAGGCCGCCCTCGGAGCTGCTGGCCTCGCCTGCCATACTGTTATCCGGACTTTCCTTGCCGGCCTTCTGTCCCTCCCTGGTTTTCATAGTTCCTTCCGGGTCAAACCATCCCAACACTCTTTCCCTAAGGCTCCAAAGTCCTTCGCATCCTCGTGCTACTGCTGGTGTGATCGGCAGGCGGCTAGCCCTACTATCCATGGCTGGCGGAGTCGTAGCCTTTTCTGCTTCCATCCCCGAAGAGTTCTCTCTCTCTTTTCTTCTCTTGCTCGGCGTTCCCTCACGGTCACTACCTTTATCCCCTTGTCTAGTCCCACCTTGGCTGGCTTTCCGTTCGTCCCGGGGTTCCTCCTGCAGAGGACCTTCTTCGTTCCCAGTCATCATTTCCGCAATCAATCTTGCCTTGTATTCCGCGGTCATATTTTCTATCTCGGCTAGTCTGCGCCTCGTATCCGTGACCCTTACTTTCTTAGGCACGGCTCCTTCCGAGTTTCGGGGGCTTGTCCTATCCTTATTTCTGCCTTCCTTGGTCCCCTGGGTCCCTTGCCTGCTTCCCCCGGCTTTCCCCGAGCTTTCTCCTATGGAGATTTCCTTCCGGTTCCCTTTGGTACCATCCGGATTTATCGATTCTCTGTCCTTCTGCCCCCCTTCGCTTTGTGCGGCACTGCCTCCTAAGCCTGGTTCTCCTTCACTCTTACGGTTATCTGTCTCCTTCTCCATTGCCATTTTGCCTAGTTCTACATAAGCCAAAGAATTTCCAGGACACACGCAATGCGAGGTATTTAGGTTCCCTAGGCTCCCAGCTCTGTTGGCTTAACTTCATAGCCTCCTTTCCTATCCCCGTTTCCTGATTGCCCTTCCTTAAGGAGGAGCCACGACTGACCCTGCCGCCCAGCCGAGCTATGAACGTGACTGGGCTTCCTTTATCACAAGCTCGTTTGTAGTGCCCTTGTCCCGTCGGCCGACGCGAGGGAGTCCGGGTTAGGCATCCTGCTAGGGGAAGTCTTCCCGAGCAGCGTTTCCCGTTTTTGACCTTCATGGTTATGGTCAATCATTAGGAGTCTGCCCCCCCTTCTTTGTTTTTCTAGTGGGTTTTAGCCATCCAGGTCCGAGGCCCCTTTCTTATTTCCATCGGCGAACTTCCGTACGCAGCGAACTATACTCGATCTGCCCTATTGACCCGCCTGCGGATGATAATCCCGCTCTCGCCCTCGCGGCTCTTCTGGTTCGGTAGGCTCCTCGAATAGTTGAGCCACCCCTGTTAGATAATTCTCCCCTATCTCGATTTCCCTTTGGATTACGCGTTCGCACCCTGTCCAGTCTAGCCGGGGCGCACAAAACATCAGGATGTGGATGACTTCTCGTAATTCGTGGGCCCTGTTTCCCCAGAACGGCCCGTGCTCCACAGCGACATCGTAGAACATCCCAATGGTAGGGGAGGGAAAGTGGCCTGCCCAGACTATCGCTGAGTCTGCCAACTCCCGCGCCCTTGCGAGGCTTCCGAAGACGAGGTCTATCATAAAACGGGGCACTCGGCATCTCAGCGGTGTGGTCGGTGCCATGAACTCCCTCCAACCTCCCATTTCCACCCGGGTTTGCAAGCCCACGTTCCTTCTTCCCCTAACCGATTGTCCTATCCGGGTCAACGTCCGGGCGGCCCTTCGAAAGATCGGCGCCAGCTCGTGACCCTGTGCTATCTCTACCCCCAACGAGTGCCAGCCGATCTCAGACAGATACATGGTCCCGGTAACTTCCAGATTGGAAAACAGATCGTCTCCGGGTCCTCGGTTGAGTCTCATCCCTGTCCACCGACATTCTACCAACATGAAGGCGGCGTCCCTTCCCAAATTCACGGCCCGCCATTCTGTATCGAACCCCCGATAGGTAGAACTCGACGGGAGGGATACTTCCCATCGTCCATCGTTGTTCCAGGGCGGTCCGGGGTACCGGGGCTGGCGTTCCATTCGCACATGGGGCTGGCGTTCCACTCGCTCACGTCTGACTGCCATTGTTACCTTGGTGATTCCCTGTATGGTCCACATAGAAAGGGTTACAGCCAATCTTCAGAATCCGCCCACCTACTGCCTCCCTCGCCCTTCGTGTTTTCATTTCTCTTTTCTAGTCCCAACTATCCCTCTATACCCCCGGGAGCAGTAGCCTCCTCTTGCTGTTCGTATAGTCGGTAGAGATCATCTATATAGGTCGCGCCCCGACCTACCTCTCGCCGGATGACTCTCCACATGGTCTCCTCACTTATTTGTGGGACTCCTGGATTAGTATTTACCGCTGCTCGTAGAATGCAAAGTACCTCGCACCCTTGTTCGTCCCCGAAAGGCCCCATCTCTAGAAAGGCCCGATAGTATTCTTGATACATTAACGCTTCGTCAAAATTTAGCCTAGTTACGCCAGTCACCGCCTGCTCCACTCGTTCTATGCCTCCCATTTGTCTTAGCAGGAAGGATGGTAGACTCATCCGTATGACCTCATTTGGCAGCTCGAAAACCCCCGCCCTTGCGACTCTTACCTCCGCCGTTACGTCATCTCGTTTCGGGTCTGCAAACTCAAACCCCTCCCGCCAGGTTATTTGCCATGCCCCTTCGAACATTCGTACGAGGTCACCCCCGGAAGCCAAAGCAATCCCAAAGGTCCGCCATCCCTCTTCCGATAGGTGTAAGGATCCCGTCGCATGTATACGCCCTGGGAGGTTCAAGTCTACGCCCCCGAACTCCCCTCTCGCACGCCATTCTAGCTCCACTACTAGGTACACCGTATCTTCCACCAACTCTACCCCCACCCAGTCCATTACCGGATTGCCTACCGTATTTTTTGCCAGCAGGCTTATTTCAACCCTGCCCTCTGATATTCTTGGTGGCAGGATCCCACGAGGTCTATCCTCCCAGAACGTCATTCGCCGGGCCATCTCGCAATGTCTCCTTCCCTGCTTTCTTAGTCCGATTGCTGCACCCACCGAGATTTCATGCCTTTCGTGTTTTAGTCTTTCAACCCTCCCTACTTATCGTACACTGGTTCTTGTTGTTATTCCCAACTCATACACGTTCAATTCTACTCCCTTCCCTTTTTCCGGTTGCTGCCACTTCCCCCTTATTTTGATCCTTATGCACCATCTTACGGCCTAATGTACACACCCCCTTTCTTATGTTACACCTCAATTCACAGGCACCCTCCACACTCAGACCCTTTTCGCGGTGTCCGATCCCTCGTCCTCATTTAGTCGAACCACAACACCTCAAATAGTTTAAAGACATCGTCTACGTAGGAGGGTGCGGCCGCCGCTTTCCGGCTAACTATGGCGTCCCAAGACTCCTTCTCTACCTCTAGGCGGTCATACCTGCCTATTCTTAGGACGATGATGACTTCCTCGGCTTTATCTCCGTAGAAGGGCGCATATTTCAATGAGAGCCTATAGAATTCCTCAGTCAGCCAGGCACGTTCTATATGCACCTTTCTCATGGAGTCGACTACTTTCAGAATGTGTTCAAACCCTCCAAACCACTCGGCTATGAACTCTGGTACCCAAGCCGTTATCCGTAGACTTGGAGGCTTAAGTTCCTTCCAACCTCCCATCACAACTCTGCTACTGACTTCGTCCCACCCCTCGTTGGCGAACCACTTGCCTTCTTTTCGGGTTCGGGCCTCTGCATCCCCTAGAAGCCACATCGGGTCCTGTCTCATCGCTAACATCGTGCAAAATACCATCCATCTTCGGAAAGGACAATCGTTCCGACTGACTCTACCTTGCCTTCTACTATATCATCCGAACCTTCCTCTTCCCTTATCGGGTTTCAAATCCGCTCTATCCATACATATGACAAGTCCCGGGCAACCTTAAAACCAATCCAGTCGCATGTAGTCCCTCTCCATCCGTTTCCTGTTGGTATAGGCATTTCTATTCCTCCTCTGAGTCGCCGTGGTTCCCAACCTTTGAAGGTGTATTCCATCATCCTCTCTTCTCTAGTCATCTTTCCCTTTCCTGCACAATACCAGGCCACCCGTCCTTCCTAAGTTAAGTTACCCCACCCCTCTCAGAAGTCCTAGTCCTCTATCTCTTCATCTTCGTCTTCATCACTGAAGTCGTCCTCCTCGTCGTATACCAACTCCCTTACCCCATCTAGAAACGTCTCCCCTATTGCCACATTCCTGTAGACTATCCCCCAATGCACTGCGCTAGGGACAAAGATATTGTCTATGCTAAGGCAGTTTAGTATCTCGGCCGGCTCCTCCGCCCAGTTTCCCTCGAACGGCCCCATCTCTACTGATAACCGAAAACAATTTTGCCTAGCGCATTGGTATAACCCGAGGTTCGTCATTGACTGACCTATCCGTACTAGCCTGTTCCGAGTTCCGAAAACCGCATCCACTAGGAAGGGGGGCAGCACACATCGCATGGTTCTTACGGGTCGCCTCATGCTTCCTCTATCCCCAAGTTTCACCCGTACGTCTACCTTTTCTATTTTCATTTCCCTCCGTTGACATGCAGCCCACACAACCTCTGCTTCTGCCTTCCTAAACAACTCGTCCGGCGTATTCCCGAGTGCCAACTCTATGATCATAGCTTTCTCACCATCTTGCGACAAGTAGACCCACCCCCGGGCTTCCACTGTCCCTCGGAATTCCAAATCCATTAAACTTGGCGACAACCTCGTCAAGCTGACATTAGTCCATATTGTTTCTATCCAAAGGAAAGCATCCTCTCCTTCCAGCATTACCGTTTGATACGTTGGTTCAAGGTCCGCCCACGTCCCATTTTCCGGGAGGACGACCGATACCCGATCCTTTACATCTACTGGCATTTCCGGGCCGCTAGTATAAATCGGGGAAGCCAACCATCGCACCATCTTGTTTTCAGCACCCGACCCCTGTTTTCATAAAAAGGCACCAACCGATCATTTTGGTCACGTCAACCCTTGTCCTAGATGAGAATTATTTCAGACCCCTCATCAAGGTCTCCCTATTTTACCTCCCCTTTCCTAATTACCCCTTTCCTATAATTCCCTCGGCCGGCCATCCATTCGCCTACATTCTTTCTCTTGGTTCCATTCCAATTGACCCCTATCCTCCTTCCTTCCGATCGTCTCTCACTCGTGTGGACTTAGAAGGGAGGGGGAATAGACTTAGAAGATTGTCCGTCCAACAATCCAAGCTCAATCAATCTTTACGGGGGGGGGGGAAACACAAATAAAAAAATCAGGCAACCTCACATACGGGCCGGTCATCTCCTCACCGGCCATCCCCAATATGGTCTCTCTGCTGGTACTATCGGTAGAGTTTTATCCCATACCTCAAGCGAAGCTCAACCGTCGCGAGCGCGGTACCCAGGTCTCGGCAAGGCATTCGCCCTTTCCTCCTTACCCAGAATACCCCATCCCGTCTTGCCGCTTTGCACATCCATACCGACATCGAGGGTTACCTCGAGTGCCTAAATACAGGGACAAAGTCAGCCGTCCGGGCATTCACTTCCATCGGTCCGACAAGAATCAGCCTTTCCCAAAACCATGCTACGAGAAGCTACTAATCTCCTCCGAGGCTCCGTCTTTGTCCGCATGCAGTGGTACTCCCTCCGCCAGCCAACAGGCTAAGCCTCGCCTGAGGAGATTTCACAACCCGTCCGGTGGATCATCGAGCCGAAGCCCGTCACCACTCGAACGAGAATGCTACTAATCAACCGACGTGACAAACTCCCGTCCGACAGCTCGGTGGCCTGACCTCCACATACGAACACACGGCAGCCTACAAAAAAGAACGACGTTTCTCAACC